CCAACCTTACTTATATATATATACATTCTGTTCATCCACGTTTTACACACCATCAATACATTTTTTTAAACAAATGCTAGAACCGTGCAAAGAACAAAACAATTCAAAAGAAGAAGATAATACCATAAAAAGGAGCCAGTAAAAGAATACTCTGGAAAGAAGACAAGAATTTTAATTTTGCGTATGTTGTATTTCACGAATTGGTTTTCTAATTAAATTAGAATATAAGGATATTTGGATTCTATTAGTATCATGGAATTCAGGGAGGTTTGATTTTACCTATTTTTCATTTAAAAGAATTTGTTGGAAGCTTCGATATATATATTAATTTATCTACATCACTTTCCAAGCTGAACCACGTAAATATGTTATATATTTTTCGATTGAGTAATGCTATAAAACTTAAATAAAATTCAAAAAATTATAACTCAAATGTATATCATCCCTTAGATGAGTGGGTCTTACTAATATTTTCAGTGAGTCCCACTAATATTTCAGTGGGATCCACTTATCTCACACGAGTCACACTCATCTAAAAAATTATACACATTTGAATTTTAATTTTGAGTTTCATTTAAATTATGCAATTCATTTGAATTTTGTTTTTTGATTTCGTTTTGTTATTTATTTGTGGGTCTCGTGCACATTAATTGAAAAAGACAGCTCAGGGCAAACCTACAACTAAACCATTTTATTTTATCAATAGGTATATTCCACTGAGATTAAGCTAATCTCCTCCAACCAAGCCATTCTATTTTATTATTTATTGTTATATTCAATTCCTCTGTGATTAATATATTTGTGAAACTAACAAGTTGAGGTATTTAATCAAAGTATAGAACTGGCAGAATATATGAGTTGACTTCCGAGACCACAACCTCATTCAAACGAGCTATTATTGTGTACCAATTGGAATCGGTACCATATTAAAATTTATAATTTTTTAAGTTTTTATTATATATATATATTTGAGATAGAAGTTACGATTGAAAAAGTGATGGAAGTTATAACTTTTAAAAGTAAAATATTTTTTTTTTGAGGAGTAATTATATTTTTTAAATGCGAGGTTACAATTGATTAGGGGTATCTATGATCAATCATAACATTGATCTCAAGCAGTTATAATTTTACCTTTAAAATCTATAATTTGATCTAAAAAAATAGTAAGATAAGAGGATAACATGTAAAAGGGATTTGACGGTTACAAGGAAGTCTATGAGAGTAAACAATTGACATAATGGTTAGAAGATTAAAAATTTTAGAATTTTCAAAAATAAGAAAACATGACATCATGAGCCGCCAATTGAAAACGATTCATCATATATTCACGTATCTCAAATGACAGAGTCATGATCACAAGTAATGACCAGAAAAAATGAATCAATGATTAAGAACCATCTCTATAAATAATAGATTTTAGGCCACTGAAAAAAGATCTCACAATCAATTGCAATACAGTACCAACCAACCTATCTTTTTTTTTTTACTTGTTTTTTACTTTCGAGAAATTTTACTTTTCCTGTAATATATCACTCTGGTGATCCTTTACTGTTTTTATTTAATACTAAGTTTCATATTCGTTTTGTCTACAAGATTCAAATTTAATTTACTTGTTATTTTGTATTTTCACTAGTTATTTTACAGTATCGTTCATATGTTTTTATTTAGTGAAATTATTGAAAATTCTTGAAAATTCAAGGCATAGAAAAGACGCTTTACTATAGTTGCTTGGAGTCACGATTTTAGAACCTCACGTTAATTCGAATAGGTAAGTAGTAGTATGTGTTTAAATTTTAAATCCATCTAAACTTTGATCCCCCGCAATTAAAAAATACACAGAAACAGGTGCTATTTTTTTTTTTTTTGGGAGACCATAAAATTACCCGACAAGCTACTCTGTTTACAATAATTATGTTTTATCATGAAGTACTTCGTTGTGGTAATAAAAAAGGAAAGTACTTTGCTGTCATGATTTCTTGAGACATAACTGATTAGCATAACTTGCCCCAATAAAAGGAAACCGCCTCAAAATAAGTTGACTTGATTATGGTACCCAAAAATAGAACTTGAGTATCATATTTTTATTTATTATATTTATAGATATTTTTATTATTGTTGTGGTATTTAACAAAAGAGATAAAAATAATTACAACAATAATAGTAAAAATACCTAAAAAAATAATAATTTTTTTTAAACAGAAGAAAAACGATAAAAATAATTATCATAATAATGATAAAAATATTAATAACAATAGTAAAGAAACACTGACAAAAATAATAAATACGCCACAAAAGTTATTAAATTTTTTAATTATAAAATGATTCACAAAAATTATAAAAACACCATTTTAAGTATTAAATTTTGAAAATATGATACCAAAAAATTTTTGGCCGTATCAAGTCAAATCCAAATAAGTTTATGAAGATGGTTGCATACAAGGTTTTTTTTTTCTTTTTGCCGGTGATTGCGAGGAAATATGACATGGAGAGGAAAATTAAAAAAGAAAGATATGATTTAACCACTAACCGACTTTGGAGGGAACAAGAGGAGGCACATTTACATAAAAAAATAAAAAATCCTTCAAAACTTAGTATTTATCATCCTAATCGAGTTAAACATTTCAAATTTCAGTATGTTTATATTCAACTTGAACTCTCGAAGTGATTAGGACAAGGTTGCAACTTAATTATCAAGTTGAATTGGATAAATCTGTTAATTGTATAATCAATCTTGGTTCGGTTAGGCTTCTTTTAATTTTATGCCCCAAACCTGAATTTGAGCTCGAGTTTAAATAAAAACAACTTGGGACCGTTAAAACTTCAACTCAGAAATCCCTTGATAGAAATCGGGCATTATATGCCTAAAGATTTATTCAGTAAGTTAAAAAAGATGCTACTTTATCACATTTTTTCATCACGAAACATACTTATATGCTACATTATGGCTGGAGTAAGTTCAAACCTATCAAAACGAACGACAGTTTAGTGCTTAAACTCATTTTGAATACTAAACAATATTAAAAATTTGATCATTCATGCTATAAACGGTAAAAAAAGATTTTTACAATTTTAGTGACTTGGTTGGAAACGAACAAACAAGAAATTGGGACGGGCTGGTCAGAGACACTTTAATACTTAAGTCAATAGCAATTTAAAGAATAAGTAGAGTTAACTGACAGGAACGTAGTACGTACTTTTGACCTTAGTCTACTTGAAATTTATAATGGTTTGGACCCTCTTGTAGGGTTTCTCTCATTTGGCAATGTAAGGTGACACACTTTATGTTTAGTCGGAGTGTTCAGGATCAATGCTAGGATTCTTCCATCATTCCTTATCACTCCCTTTCATTCAGTCATGTTGATAATATTTACTCATAATTTCTTCTTATTAATATATTTGGAATGGAGTGATCTTCACAATTATGACTGTTACGAGGTAGTTTACGTCTAAGGGTGATAATCGAACTGAATTTGAGTCAAAATTTTCGACTATTTACACATAAACGAGCTAACTTGTTTGATTATTTACACGTAAACGAGTTTAAAAAAATGTTCAAACTTGACTTGTTTAACGGCCTTATTTACGTCAGCCAAGTTGAGGTATTTATTGGGCACTGGCAATGATTCACCTAACCGAGCTTATCGGTTCGGTTAGGGAATAATCCAATAGTATCTTGGCTCAAGCATAAGAAGTGGTTTAACTTACTTGGCCGAAGCCCTGAGCTCGGGTGAAAGTTTTGCCGGGCTCGACTTTGCTTTGCCAAGGTTCCGAGTCATCATCCCAATGGCAAATGGTCAGTCACGTGTTTGTACTTATTTTAAATCATTAGACATCTAATCAGACACAGTAATTCTGCATCCATTCACATACAAATAAGTGAAAATTGAGTCAACCCTAATTTAAGTTGAGTAACTGGGTTGACTTAACAACCCTTATTGCTTGTCAAACCACATGGGTATAAAAATATAATTTGTCCCATTTTAATTCTCTAAAGATATGATTGGAGTTCAAAATTCAAAATAATTAGTCATCTTTTTGATTCTTTGTGGATCTGCTGTTGGCAGATCTCCTTCACCAACAATACCCTAAAGTTGAGAACTATTAAAAAACACAATTGAATTCTTCAATTATTCAGTTTCATCTCTTTTTTTTATTAATATTTTGGAATTCTAAATTCCAATTATTAAACTGCCAACCTATGCTTCTTGAAGTTGGCACGTAAATTTGAGAACCCATAATTTTTTTTTTTGTACATCGGAAAGTTAAACAAACAACTAAACAAAGTTCCCAGAGAAAGAGACAGACCAGATCAGCCAAGGTGGGGGAGCATCAAGCTCTACAAAAGGTCCAACTGTTGGACTCCAAGGTTAGCTAGTGTACTTGCACACTGGTTACTTTCTAGAGTGTGGATAATAGGGATGTGGTTCAACTCCATTAATCGTCTGCAGATTGAAATCTTCTTTTGCACACAAAGAACCGAGCACAGCACAAGAAATGTAAAAGAAAATCAAAAGTCGATCTATTTTGTTGACTTCAAATATCAACACAATATTCCATTTTGAAGACAAATAATTCCATATTATCAACAACTTTCTCTAAATGAACCCACCATTTGGCTAATCATTTTGAATATCTTCACTGTGACAGTCTTGCTGCCCCAAACTTCGTCATATCTGTCTAGCCATCTTGTTGGTGGGGTTGTTGCACAATTAACAACACACAGAGAGAGAGAGAGAGTTAACATGGTGATAGTTTTTGGATTATTTTTTAAAATACTTTATGCTGGAAGTGTCACTGTTAAGCAGGTTTTTGGGTTATTTTCAAATAGATATTCAGATCAAGTGTCATTTTTAGCCCGCTTACAATATTTTTTTTCCCTATAACAGCTTGAGTGCGACCTTGGCTACATACAAACACCCGCACGCAGGGACAACAACACCAACCCCCCCCCCCCCTTCCCTAAACCACATATAAATATCCATTTTTGCTAGAAATTTTGCATGACCCCTATGTTTGATCTTCTTCATCTTATTATTATAGAGAAGACTGAAAATAATAGCTCCTTCGTAGGAAGAAAAAGATCTTCTGCTAATCAATTCAAAGAGAAAATGAATCTATCAGTAAATGGTCAGTCTCAGGTCCCTCCGGGTTTCCGATTCTATCCGACAGAAGAGGAGCTTCTGTGTTACTACCTGAAAAAGAAAGTTTCCCATGAGATGATAGACTTCAATGTAATACGAGAGGTTGGTCTTAACAAGCTTGAACCATGGGATATCCAAGGTAATTTCAACCTCTATATTTATGATTAATTTCTTAAAGCAACCAAGAAACTTACTTTTTTCTTTGCAAATTTTCATGTTTTTTTGCATGTAGAGAAGTGCAAAATAGGAGGCACCCCACATAATGAATGCTATTTCTTTTGTCACAAAGATAGAAAATACCCGACCGGGAGTCGAACCAATCGTGCAACTGCAGCCGGATTCTGGAAGGCTACTGGCCGTGATAAGACCATATACAGCTGCTATAGAAAGATCGGAATGAGGAAGACTTTAGTCTTCTATGAAGGACGGGCACCATATGGGCAAAAATCAGATTGGATCATCTATGAATATAGGCTAGATGACACCAAGGTAATAACTAATAAGCCATCCTCTTTATGCCTTTTGAATCACTTGTCATCCCATTAAAAATGAAATTATTTCAATTCATGATTTTTCACATAAAAGGACATGCAGCTTGATTTTTTTTCCCCAAAAAATAAAAGGAGAGAGAGAGAAACAACTACGGTGGGCTTGAACCTACGACCACAAAGTTAAGAGTCTTGCACTCTCTCATTTTTTAGGCTTGTCCGTCGGTATTTTCAAAAATTATCTGCAAAATAATTCATTGTATTCCTATTTCTCACTCAAAAATGCTCGCACGCACATACACACACTCATACATATACAAACAAAACGAAACCCATGTCGTGCCCTAGAGATCAGCCATGGCCGCAGGTTTCAGAAATTCAAATTTTGAGCCTTATACTTTATGTAATTTTTATTTGGCCGCCCTTAAAGTTTTGATATTTTCAACTAATTATTTCACTCTTGGGAACCAGGCCTCGAATCTAGTACGAACTTCAACACCAGAAGACCCGTGGGTGGTATGCCGAATTTTCCGGAAGAGAAATTTCCACAAGAACCTACAAAGTCCCCAAAGCACATCATCTTCTCCTGATTCTATGGCCGAAGCATATACCTCAGATAAAAATGGTGTTCTTACTCAAACATTTTCAAGCAAGGGAAAGTCTTACAAGCAAGAAAAAAGAGAAATTGACGATAGGAACATTAATAACAATAAGATCTTGCATTACCTAGATCAAATTGACAGGGAATTCAGTGAGGAGTTTCCAAATATGTTCTTCCATCTTCCAAGACCAGAAATTCAAACTGCTTCAATATCACTTCATGGAAATATCTCATCCTTTAATCAAGACTATTGTTTTGAGGATTGTGACTTACAATACGATGAGATGATCTCAAAAACAGAACCTACTTGCACCAATCCAGGCAGTGCTTGCATAGCGCAATCCAGTGGTACACCGGAAGAAGGATCTCATGGTTGGGCTGCAATGGACCAGCTGGTGGTAGCAAGTCAGCTCAATGTCCAAACAGAGATGCTGGAGCAATTATCTGGCTATGGTCATTCCACTGAGGATTTCTGTTTATCTCCCCAAGATGATGTGCTATCATCCGAGATATGTTCAAGTCGACCAAATCAAGTTGCGCAAGTCTACAATGGCGAAGTTGATTTTTGGAGCTTTACATGATCATGTCTCCGCGAGGCTCTTGTTATTGCATGATTTGAAGAGTGTTTTATGTATATTTCATTGCATTGGTGGAGAAACTGTTTCATGCGACTAGTGTAATTAAACATGTAATTGCCTCACCCTTATTACAGAAGAATTGCGGTCTCAAGATGTCGTATAATAGTAGCTTAATAAATATATCATCGAATATTCAATTCTTGTTCATGCATTTTATATGGGTAAAGTGCACCGTGTCAAACCTCAGGACTAACGTTGCAATTTACCCATTTTATATTTATAGGTGTTTAAGCTGTCAACAAATTTTTTTAAGTAAGATAATATTTATTTAAGCCAATCGACTCCATTTACAAAAAGTATTATATTGGGAAGGATGATTTGTTGGCTTGAATTTCTACTATATAACAAATTACTCATTGAGATTTTGAAATGATCTTAAACTTACAAGTATATTAAATAAAAAGAGATAAATCTGTTTATGTAATTAAGAACAAAATATTAACATGCAAGAACAAACAATAACACATAAATTTGAATAAATAAATTAATCTGTTTGCATACCATGAATGTTGACTCAACTTCATATAGATCAAGACTATTGTTTGATACTATATCCTTAAAACATTTTTCACTCCCGTAATGGTGTTTATAAAAATCTTAGCATCTACGTCATGTGATACAATGTTTTTCACGCAATTAAAATTTGCACTACAATTTAATTGCCTAGTGAAGTAAAGATTATGTTTTGTACTCTCAAAAAATACAAACTTTGAATGACGAAATTTATGCATGCAATGACTGTCGTAATCTCATATTTATGTAAATATTGAATACTAATGAATCTGAGTATTCATAAATAGAATTATGATTGTTCTAAACAGCCACTATGTTAATGGATGCAATCCAGAAGACATAATGTAATCCAGAAGACACCATTCCAGTTTGCATAATAATGAACAGTAATCAAATTTAAATCCGGGTAGGAAGACAAATTTAAATCCGAACCAGTGCGAATTTGTAATTCTAATAGGCAAAAATTAAAATCGGGTTAAGAATTTTGGACCTAATTCGCTAAATGAATTTTTTTCAAAAAGATAAAGTTGGGTCTCATTCATCTAGGTCCTCACACATCCACAAAATTGTGGTGCCCCTTGAGACCCAACCCATAGAGTAAACTTGGATTATATATGTTCATGCAAAGTTTGTTGCCTAACTAATGTAGAATTTGTGTCAAACCCCACATTGTCCCAACCTCTATTTCCGCATTTAAGAGGATCACTTTATAAATTATTGTCTCATTCACCTCTTATTCAATTTGAGTTCATATTCTACGTTTTTCTTTTCACGGAATAAAACACGAACTTCAAAATTTTACTCAAATTGATGAGTGGATCTCGTTTTAATTTAGGCTCAAAAGTGAACCAAAAATTAATTTTTATTTTTTAAAAACTGCTTTGGTCCAAAACTCCCCCACTTGAATGAAATTTTGGCTATTAGTATGCAAATGATAATGTTGACACACTATAAAGAGTACATATGGAAAAGATTGTGCATCAAGATAAATAGCTTTTGACTTTGAATCTTTCTTAGTAAAAACTCATTGGACTTATCTGCTAAGTAGTGAATATAATGTCTTGAATTATTCAGTTATTTGATAAATTAGATTAAATAGACTTGACATAGCCTCTTTCTTTACATAATTGGTTCTCACGATTGTGTTCATTCTGGCCCTAAATAACTCATAATTTTCATGAGTACTTTAGAGAATTTAGCCTTTACAAATTCTCACAAAAACGACCCATTCACATTCATATAAATGACTCATATTAAGAATATCTCACAATATCTTATTTGGATTTTCAAGATATAAGAGTCATGAAAAGTATAAGTTACCCTAATAAGCTCTGCAGACATTACTAGTTTATCATAAAAACAGGTAGGATATATTATCTCTTTAGTACTTTTTCTAATGCACAATTTAGTTGCCCCTTTGAACCTATATCTTAGGATCTCCATTCAGCTAGGTTCATCAAGGTGACTCTCTTAAGTCATAGGTTTTAGCTTAATTCCCCTCAATATATAATTTACTTGCTCTCTCGTTAAACTTTTAATAAGCAGATCCACTAGATTTTATTTTGATTTTGTATAATCAATAGAAATAATCTCATTTAAGAGTAATTGTCTAATAATATTATTTATGCGATGAATATGTTTAAACTTACCATTATACATATTACTCTATGTTCTTCCAATTGCAAATTGACTATCACAATGTATACAAATTACTGGCACGCGTTTAGGTCATATTAGAATATTCTCTAAAAATTAAAAAAGTCACTGGACTTCATCTCCTATATCTCTAAAGTAATAAATTTAATTTTTATCGTGTATTTGCATATAGTTGTATCACCAAGTATAAAAACATAACCACTTGTGGACTTTGTATTATTTATATTTGATATTTAGGTTGCATCACTATATCATTCAAGTACAACTAAATATTTTGTATAGTGCAGTTCAAAGTTCATGATATATCTTAAATATCTAAGAATCTTGATAATTGTCTTTCAATATTCTACTCTCTCTAATTAATAGTAATAATTGAATTAGAAACATAATAAGGAATTATACCATAAATCTGTCTTAAGTTTGTTGGTGTGGATTTCTACAATATAACAAATTACTTATTGAGATTCTGGAATAATATTAAACTTACAAGTATACTAAAATGAAAGAGATAAATCTGTTTATCCAATAAAGAGCAAAACAGTTACACAAAGAACAAACAGTAATACATAAATATGCAATAAATAAACTAGCTTGTTTGCAAAAAAGGAATAGTGATTGAACTTTATTTAAATCAAAGTTAGTGTTTGATTACTATATCCTTAAAACATATTTGCCCCCACATTGGTGCTTATGAAAATTTTAGCGTATGCTTCACAAGATATAATGATCTTCACACAATTGAAAGTAACACTCTAGTTCAATTGTGCATCGAACTATAGATTGTAAGTTGTAGTAGCAAAAACAGTAGACTCTTAATGACGAAATTTATGAATGCAATGGTTGCCTTAATCTCGTAATTAAGTATTGCATGTTAATGAGTTTGAGTTATTTGTAGATAGAATAGCGACTGTTTCGAATAACCACCGTGCGAACTAATGTAACCCAGAAGGCACAATGCAATCCAGAAGACTTTATTTGATAGTTGGACTGACATTTTTAATTTGTAGCACAACTGGCGTGCCCTAAAAACATTAGTTGAACTAACGTTTCTATTTTAAAAACGTCAATCTAAATGACCTTTCAACTAAAGACGTAAAATTGCATAGGTTTGAGAAATACTTTCAAAAGAACCTTTGGTTTGGTTAAAAGCTCCTTTATTACGTGAGTGTGGAAGGGAGGAGAGATAAGAAGTATGAGGGGATGGAAAATTAGAAACGTGCAATAGATTGGAGGAGTGAAAAAAGTAAAGTTGTGGGCGGGAATTTAATTTTTCAGCAGTGATTTTTAGCCCACGGATCAACTTGGATTGATTTTTGAACAATATGAGACACGAATTCAAAATCTCTTGTACTTTATTACATAAATAGAAAGATCACACATGTTGACAATAAAACCTTATAGGGTGGGGCTATTCCACCCTAAAAATATCCATTCCACCCCATTAAAGTCCCAACTATAAAACTACTAAACCCACACCTTCTATACACACCCCACTATAGACTAATCCTCCCTTATTCTTTACTCACCCCATTAATGACTAAATTCAATCCAAACTAAAACCCAAATCTCGCCATTGCATGGTTAAATTTTTCATCTCTGCCACTTGTTCATCCAAAGACAATATCTTGTCTCGTCTGTGTGTGGGAGAGAAAGAGAGAGAGAGAGAGAGAGCCCCAACACTAAAAAATGATTGAATAGAAGTGCTTTTTTGATCAAACTAACTATTTTGTTTATATATAAAGGAACTGTTCCATGATATCAATTCTGTAGGAAAGAAATCAAGAAGCGGTCAAACCCATATTGGAAACTATCTAGCACAAAAACATAATATCGTATGGAATCAAACCATAAAATTTCACCACTTGCAAATAATTCTTACTATAGAAAAGGCAAATAAGTCTCATTTGGAACTCGGACCAAGCGAAATTAAGACATCATTTGGTTTTGTTTTGTCACCATTCCAAGATCTTAACTTGTGCTGCCTTGGTATCCACCTTGTAGAATTGCAGCTAGTGGGTTGCAAGTTGAGAAATCGATGTTAGATTAACAAGTTGAGTATATAACGTTCAAGTGTGTGAAACATTTTATAAAAAGAAACCCTAAAAATGAAAAGATATTGATGTAGGAAAAGTTTATGAGTCGGATATATTTTACTTAGAATAGGTTTAATTATTAGAGCAATGCTACATGAATTTAAAAAGTAGACTTAAAAACTAGACTTGATAATCTCGACCATTGATTTCACTGTAGGTCGCAACATTTATTGGGACTCACCACCTATTCAATAGTTGAGATTATAAAGTCTAATTTTTAAGTCTACTTTATAAGTCCATCTAGTATTACTCATTATTAATGGGGTGGGTGAAGAATGAAGTGAGAATAGTTTATAATAGGATGTATATAGAATAAGTGAATTTAGTAGTTTTATAGTTGAAACTTTAATGGAGTGGGAATGGATATTTTTGGGGTGGGTAAATAATAGGCTCACCCAACCTTATATAACCTCGTGTTTCCCCACTTCCCAAATTTCTCTCTCCCGGTCTCTTCATTTCCTGTGTCTCTCTAACCTCTTCAACCACTTAGGTTTGTTTTTTAACATTTTAAATGGAGATAGATTGCATCTTGAGAAAAGCTGAAAAGATAAAGCCAGATCAATTGACAAGTAATATTCGATCAATTTACCAGAAGTTGCTATAGAATTTTATCAAGGAATTGATAAATAAATCCAAGCACATCCTGGTAAGGCCAGCCATATTCACGGTGTTATGTTGAGT